ATCTCAACTGCAGAACTTGGCAATTCATTTAGAATTTTTAAATGAGAATCTCTTTATTTTGTCAGTTCTTTCTTTTCAGATAGCTTTCGTTTCTTGCGAGATGAATTTTTGTTCTTATCTGTTACTTGCATTCTCATTGAATGTGGCAACTTTGAGTCTCCTTTATCATGTTTATGTCTCTTTGCAAAGTTTTCTGACGTGTGTGTAGATTTTGAACGTATTTTTAATTTTTAATTTAGAAGCACCTTCATGAGTTCTTTTATCGAATTCCTTTGATCTGCTGTTAACAAACAGGAAAACACATCTTTTGCTTTTTTGAGAAGGAACTGGGAATCTTGTAGGGGTAATAATTGTACACATTTTTTATCCAGAGAATGTGTATCACCAGGTGAATAAGGTGAGTCAACTTCCGTATCAATAACTTCAGTTTTCCCACCAGGAGATGAATCCTTAGACTGTTTGTCAGATTTCTGAGAAGCATTGTAGAAGCTTGACTATTAGAAGGGTGCGTTTGACTAAATTACGCTGAGTTTTTAGCACTATTATTTGCTTGGTTTTGCATCAAAGTTGCATAGTTCTGTATTTGATCCCTATATTTAAAAAAAAAAAACAATTAATTCCTTTTCATTTCCATTTTTACCTATTTCCGTTTCACTAATAACCCCTTTTCTTTTACTTTGAAATTATTTGTCTTGCTAAAATTTTCATTTGTAGCTTCGCTAAGCAATGAGGCTAGATTTCTACTTTGATGTTGAGATTCAATTAATTCCTTAGAATTAACATTAATTACTTTTTTAATATTCTTAGCTTCCTCATCAGCTTGCGGTAAAATATATTTGTTAGTCTCGATACGACAGTTCTCCTAGTTCCTCCATTTTCTTCACGTAATCTTTTTACCTGATATCGCGTCAAAATCGCATTACCTTTTCTAAATTAAAGGATGGTTTATCTTTTAACAATTGAAAGCTTTTATTATCCAATACATATCTGCCGGGATCATTTGAAACAACAACTGCCTTTTCCTTTATATGACCTAGTTCACAATTAATTTCAACTTCCGCTAAATGATCATTTAAAAGATATTATACCCAGACATGTCATTTTTGCGTTATCTATGTGTTTTCGAGAAATAATATTTACTATAGCTCCTGTGTCTCGAAGAATAGGCATTTAATACCCATTAACCAAACTGTTAATCGTATATATCTCTAACAAATCATCATACAACAAACCTGCACTCGAAACAACATGGTAGACATCTTTTGTCATATAAATTTTCTTGGCTCTTATTTTGGAACTGATTCTTTGTCGGACATCTTCTCTTTGTCGGTGTCTTTCTGGTATTTCGAATCTTCCCAATTAGCAGAATGCTTAAAATGAGGCGGATTCTCTGTTTTTTTTCCACAAAATTTTCGTAACGAGTTTTAAATGAACCTTTATTAGTTCTCCAAGCTTTATTGGCGGAAAATTTCGGTTTTATTGTTTTTATTACATCTTCAAAATCTTCATTTTCTTAACAATCTCAGTAGATGAAATGATGGTAGTCCATTAATACATAAAATTCTCTTTAAAATCAAGAGAAGTACATTTTCTAATTTGATCAAACAGCATGAGATCTTTTAGCTGTTCAAAAGTTTTAATGTGTAATCTATTAATCCATCCTTCTAAATAATTCTTTAATTCATAGTAAAAATCATACCAAGTACTTTCAGAAGATTTGTGGTGTTTATTAAATAGTTGTCTAAATTTTTCCGCACTCAATTTAAATCGTTGTAACAGTAAAGGTTTTACATATTCATACTTTTTCGCGTCCTCTTCTGGTTCTCTAATAAACTGAACAATATCAGGAGGTAGCAATGAAATAAGTTGAGTCACTTGAGTTTCAGCAGGTGTATTCATAATTTTATTTTGACGCTCAAATATCATCAGAAATAAACTCATTTCATCTTCTTTAAGATTAAAACGCGGCACGACATCGTGAATTCTGATTTTCGGAGGTTGCACAGGTAACTGCGTAGTTACTACCGGCTGTGCTCTTGCAGTCATTGCTTCCGATTCAAGCTCGAATCAGAGCTCATCTCTTTCGCCTTCACTTTTGTGTTCTTCCTTTTTTTTTTCCTTTCACGTTTCTTCTCTTTCACGTTCTCTTTTTTATTTATTTCTCGCTCTTACGTTTTTTTCTGGCTTCATCTGCCTGCAATTAGCCAGTATTTCTCGAGTGAATCCTTCATCAAACCGGGACTTTCTGTAATCAATTTATGCAACTGAGCAATCTTAAATTCAGATCTCACAGTTAAACCTAACTCTTCTGCCAGTACGCTTAATTAATTATTAAAATTAATAATAATGCACATTCTATACTATATTATCTTTTGTACAGTATGCAGAAAAGGTTAATGATTTTAAAGTGTGTGAAATGTATAATCGAAAATCTAGTGTTAAGGAAACATTAGCATTTCTATGAAATATTGTAATCTATAATTATGTGAGATTTAATTGTATAATATAAAAAACACTAAATATTTTTTTATTGATAGCAAAATGCAGTTTTATTACTTTTCGTTCTTCCAAACACTGTGTAATTCGCGTTTTTTTAAATATTGCCGTTATGTATGTTTATTAGAATATCTCAATAAATGAATACTGGAAATTAGGTTTTATTTTTTATTAAAGTATATTCTATTGCTATTATGTATGGTTATTAGATTATCTCAATAAATGAATGTTGGAAATTAGGTTTCATTTTTTTATTAAAGTTAAGTATATTCTATTTTCTTCGCTTACTTTTTATGTGCTTGTGATAACAAAGAAATTCATAATAAATAGAAGCAAAAAGTTTCATCGTGTGCTATTTAACGAAGAGCTTACTTTAACGCACTTAGCTTACTATCGTATACTATATTATTTAAATTATTTCTGTACAGTAACAAAAGGAAAGTTATTGATTATAAAAAGTGCATGAAGTAATCATTGTAATCTACCAATATTCTAAAATGTAGAAACTAAAAATAAGCAAATACATTAACATATGATCGAATGAAATGGTGTTAAGAAACATCAGCATTACTAGAAAAACAGAAAGGTTAATCCATAATTATTGCACTTTTAATTGCTTACTATCTAAAAAACACAAATATTTTTTTATTAATTTGAAATTTTAGTTTTGTTACCTTCCTTCTGCTATTTATACTTTCAAACACTACTAGTTCATGTTTTTTCTTAAATAGTGCTGTCATGTATGTTGTTTGTTAGGTTTTTATTTCATTTTAGATATGACTATGGGAAGTTATTAGATTTAGGTATATTTTTGTAAGAAATATTTTTGATCACATTTATTAATTACTCTGTACAGTCTTTCATTTGTATATCTTGGAGATATAGAAGTTAATAATTATATTTTTTACTGTGAAACGCGAATAAATTTATACTTGAGTTCAGGTAAAATATTGATTATGTTACCATAAGAACCGCTTCCTAATTTATCATGACAGGAGCAATTTTCATTGTCTCTGAGATTTAACAGAAATAAATGTGATAATGCTGTTAACAGAAAAGCTCTTTTTTTACCCACATATATATTTTTACTTTTATTTGGGTCTAATTGAGTTTTATTTACTTAAAACCTACTATTAATGTTACATATTTATAATATCATTACTCTTAAGGGGAGGAAAATGTTGAAATCTTAAATAATCGTAACTTAGAACTTAAGTTACTTAAAAAATATAGTTTAAAGTACTGAAAATAATTAAGGCTATTATTAATTGGGCATATTTAGTGTAGAGAAAAATTTAAAAACTATACTTTAAAATACTGAAAAAAATAACGCTATTATTAATTATGCATATTTAGTCTAAAGAGAAAGAAAAGTATTATGTTTTGGTTTTTAGGAAATGATAAAATATTTAAACTTTAGAAAAATACAAGGAATACAAAATTTTAAAAAAGAAGAAAAATATATTAATTATTAAGCTTATTTTTCTGCATAAATCAATATGTAACACAAGGACATAATAACGACATTTTCACAAATGTTGCAAAAAGGTGCAGTTTTGCGAACATTTAGGAGTCGTTAAGACTTCGTGATACGATGCTTTCACAAACAAAATATCACCTGCGAAAGACGCAATAACGACGTCTATGCGACAAAAACCTCATCTGCAAAGACGTAGTAAAGACGTAGCAATATTAAACTTTTAATAGAGAGAACAATGAAGCCGTGTAAATATAGGGAATCAGAAGAGCACTGCGCGAAGGGGCGTGGTCAAGTAGAGAATTAAACTTTATAAGGTGTGTGTACTTCATGCGCCTGTTTCGATCTTCCTTGTTCATTATGGGGCAAAAAACACCACCGCCCACCGGAAAGTTTAAATCGCTCACTAATGGGTGGTAGGGACTCGGTTGACTATCCCTGTTCTAAAGGTTCTTGAACTTCTCATATGATACAAATCTCGAGTCTTTCACACTAGAATCATAAAGAAAAAAAAGACTTAATTTTACAAGTTTTTGACTAAAGGAAACTTAAATCTAAGCTTAATGAGAAATAAATTCAACAATACAACTTTTAAATATGCATCTGTATTTATTAAAAGGATATAAATAAATTTAGTAAATGAAGTACATTAATTAAAACTTTTGAATCTTCTCATTTATTTATCACTAGAATTTAACAAAAATATTTAATTAACAACAGCTCTTCTTTTGCACGAGCCCTTTTAAATAAAACAAGTTTAGAAAGGGTATGATTATTTCAAAAATTAACACTAATAAGAGCTAAACTTGCAATACTAAAGTCTGGCATAAAACTAAGCGTGTGTGTGGTTTTCAGAGCCACTTCAAAATAATATTAGTAATCCAGTTCCACGGCATCTGAACAAATCGTTTATTTATTTTTTGTTATTTATTTTTTGTATTTTAGGTTTGGTTTACAGATATTCAAATGATGTGTAAAGCATGAAAATTACAGTTCTCGGATCCCGACTATTTGGACAGATTCGTAGGATTGAAGGATTTGATTTTTGTATCCGAACTAAATTTTTATTTTTGCACAGTTTCCTCGATTTGTTTACCTTTCCTCAATTTGCTTTTAAGAAATACGCCTTTCCTGGTTCATTTTGTAATTACCAGCTGCGGAGTTGATGAGGATCATAAAGGCATAATCGGCATTCAAGCGTAAAGGTATCAGTAAATTCGTATCAGTTTCTGAAGTGATGTCGAATCTTGAAAAAAGGTAACTTACTTTCTATTAATGAATTTAATTAAGTATAACCCTTTTTTATGTATAAATATCTCTCTCAAAAGTCTACTTTCCTTTTTCGCGAGCTTTTGATCTTTGAAGTGCTGATTCCATAAATTGAAAAATAAGTGTTTGTTTATTTTACTGTAAATTTTTATATAAAATACGTTATTCAGTTTTTGTTGCTTCATATTTGCTAGACATATATGATGGGCTATTTGATTTTCGGTGAAGAAAATCCTTTGGCAAGCTAGAAAACGGCTATGGATCATCGCTCAGCATTTTGAGAAGCTCTAACCCTTACCCTGAGAAACAAGCAAAGGACACTATTCATAATAAAAACTATCCTTTTGCTTGTTTGCTTTCTAAATATTAGTTTGGCAGTGAGAGAGGCTTTGATACGATGCAAATAGGCTGTTTATTTTGTGGATAATATAACTATTATTCTTTATCGTTTATTTAATTATAATCGTTTGTTTGATTTCAACCAACGCATATTACAATTCTATAACGATATTTTATTTTGGACTAAATTTAAATTCCTGCTAGGCGTTCGTGTTCTAATACGTTTCGATACTTCTATATTTTGTGTTACAAACTGTTGAATATCAGATAAAATTATGTTGTATTATGCAATAATAATGATATTTATTCCTTGCAATTCCTTTTAGTGTAATGCTTAAGACATCCAGTTAGCACTGGATATATGATTCGAATGTCAGAAAAGACACGTGATTAACTTTTTTAAGTTTTTGCTCTCCAAACATAAAAAAAATTACTAAAGTTTTGATAGACAGTAATCGTACAATATTGACTATTTTTGAACTTGTAAGGTTAACCAATTATTATGATTGTAAGATTATAATGCTAATTAACAAGTTATTATGATTGTGATTTAGACTATTGTAGAGAGTTTAAATTATATCGATGCAGGAATGTGAAAAAGTGCAATGCCATCGCCGGGATTCGAGCTCCGGACCTCCCGAATACGCATAGAACGTGTTTACAGTTACAACACGAAGCCATGCGGAAAAGAGGGAAAACTTATTTTGTACTATAATTTCTTCTTTCCGCATCCCTCCTCAGAATGCAGATTAGCTTTCAGAGTATATAAGCTGAGGGTTTTGAATCTTGAAGAGAGATTTTCTGGCACTCCGTCACGCTGTTAGAATTTCGCCAGCATTATATGAAAGTGATTATTCCGATTCCTGCAGTCTCTCGCAGTCGATATTTTAAACTTAATTCCCAGTAAAATTAATTGAGCCAGCTTATAGCTTATTTATTTGACAGTGTAATCTTACATTACTTTACCAAGTTTAATTTTATTTGACTGATATTGCTTAATTTACATGGCCACAAGAGGTGGTTTGTCTGTAGCTTATGTCGAACCTTTAAGTCCAAGGTTTAAACCAAAAGGTTATTTAAACTTTTCAGGACTTTGTTGTAATATTTCAGACATAGCGACATGTTAACTTGTTTAATACGGTTGCAGAACTTAACGTTAGTTTCCAGATCAGCAGTCACCCTTCAGACTAGAAACAGAAATCGTGTTGTGAATCTTTGTAACCATGAGAAATGAATCAATGTGTTCTGTGCCTGCTTGTTGAGGTATAGTGGTCCAACTAGAATTGAAGACGGAGTAAAAACAGAAACATCATTTTGTAAGCACTGTCTGAAATAATATAAAAATAAAAATAAGGTTAAAAATGGCTAAATTTGAATCCATATAACTTAAGCAATATTTCAAATTCAGCATTTATTATGAGCAGTGTATTTGGGGAAGGTCAGCCGTTTTGTACGAGGAACTTTTAATTAAACTGTTGTTTTAAATGTACATAACATTTTAAATGCTTATTCGAAATTATTAGAACAAAAGGTTTCGTTGACATTACATAACGTGTCCACCAAAAAGTCCTCACCTGGCCGGTATTTTCTCAACCGTTGCTTATAGACATATACCTAACTACAAAAATGTTTTAAATGACGCAAAGATTCAAGTTTTCGTATTTTTAAATAAAAAATGTTATTTTTGCATAAATCTGAAATTTTCAATTGTAATTTAATTTTTTAAACGTTTTTGCGGTTATTATGTTTCAGAAAACTGTACACTCGTACAAAAAATAACTCACGTTTGACCACCGTTTGCAAAAATTGACCTAGCTATTTAATAACAAAATTTGAAATATTTTACTTCGTTCTGAATTTGCATTTATGAATCTGCGAGTAGCATTCAGTGTGAAAATATGCAAATCTAACAAATTTAGCGATGCAGAAAGCAATGCTTTAGAATTTCTCAAAATTAAAAATTTTTCATTCACATAAAGTTCGCCACTTCTTCAAAACATTGTCCGTTGGAGTTCAGAAATTCTGTTTTTAACATTTCTCTATTATAATCTACAAAATATTAGAAGTTGATGTTTTTTACTGTTACATAGATGATTAAATTCATATCTATTATTTTGAGATAAATTGAAATTTCTGGTTAGATGATCTTTATTATACTATATGTTTATAATTGCGATAGATGACAATGATTGCTGCTAAAACAATTGCATTAACAGTTGCTATTAAAATTTGTCGAGAAAGAAGGAATCAACGAAATATTTATTTCGCTATATTATTAAAAGCATTTATTTTCAATCATTCACTTCATCCCACCAGATGTTTACCTCCGGCTCACATTTACTTCTGGTTGAATCATGTGTTTAAGAGAAAATCTGGTACTTTCTTGATAAAGCTGCCACCGCACTTAGTCGCTGAAATTGGCAAAATTAAACACCTAATTAGTAAATTTCAAATGTTGCGAAAGGCCGCTTTATCACGGAACTGCCCAAATCTCCAGTAGCGTAGTTAAAAAGCGTTGAAGGTACACAGATATGCAAAAGAATACATTTTAATCTACTTAATATCTTCTTTTAGCCCCAAACCAGTTAAAATCAACTTTACAAGCTATGTACCTCATGATGTTTCCAGTCAGGCTCCTGTTATTTTCATACATGGATTGCTAGATACGACCGCCACATGGGACAAAGTAATGAAAGTAATTGCTGACCGAACTAAACGAAAGGTAAGACCTTGCTTTCAAATTTTTGATAATATGTTATCATAAAATTTTTCTGATTTTCTAAATTTTATCACAGCTACCTTGAAACAAGAAATTTAGTGGACATGTTCACTAAACAGTTCTTTAATAAATGTGAAGTTGAATGCTTCTTAAGATCATCACAAACATCAATTACAACAAAAAATTGCACTCATGGCAGAGAAATACAGCCTTGGAGAAACAATATATCAGAGTGTTTCGAGGAAAAAATGTGGTGGTTACATTGCAAAAATAGGTTCTAATAAGGAATGTGTTCACACCTAGCTGCAATACATTGGCGGCAGCAGCGTTCCATGCTGTTAGTTAAGTTTTTAGTCAGTGAAATGGGAAGCAACGACCATACACGGAGTAATCCTATTACAAGAAAAAATGCAAACAAAATCAAGTTTGTTTTGATTTTAAAACTCTAACGTCGTCTTTTATTATTGTGAATTAAATATGCTTAATCCATTCTGGAATTATCATTTAAGTTATTAAATTATTCCATGTATTGACTCTGAATAGCGTCCACAACATCTGACTGAAATTTTTGTTATTGTTATTTAAAGTCTGAAAGCGTAACGTAACTATGTTCTTACTGAGGAAGAAGGGATCTAGCAGCTCCCTCTACGTATAATATTATCTTTGTTATTGCGAAGTTTAGTTTCTCTAGATTAGCAACAGGAAAAAATGTAAAATAAAAAAATCTGAAAGGTTTCAGGTTTTAAATTACGTCTAAAGGAGCGTCATTTTAACGTTTTGTGTGTTACCTTTGTAGAGACATTAGGTCAATTGGAAAAGTCGGTGAGATAAAAAATTAGCAACGCCTTCGCCGGGAATCGAAACCGGACCAGTGTGTAGAACCACTACACCACGAAGGCATGCTAGGAAGGTGGTAGAAATACCTTATATACTCCCCCTTTTAAAGGGGGATTGGTTTTTCTTTCTTTTTTTTAGGGACCTAATCAACAAATCCTAGGTGTGGCGAGTCATCATACACAACCCTTTTAGTTCGGGCACCACTGTAAAGACATTAGGTATTTTTTGGAAAAGCCGGAGAGATGAACAATTAGCAACCGCCTTCGCCGGGAATCGAACCACGAACCTCTGTAATACCGGCCCAGCGTACAGAACCACTACACCACGCAGACACGCTAGGAAAACGTTAGAAATATCTTATACCTTTATTTATTAAATATCATGTTCTTTGCACTTAAACCATAAAATTCAGTTCAATAGCAATGTCGCAACATAATTTTAAAATGAGCATATCTTTAGAATTTCCGGTACGCAGTTCCGCGCGCTGGAGATAAAATGGATTTTTTTCCCCGTAGAGTGTTGCCATTGCTCGCTTTGAAATCCTCGAGTTTGTTATTCAAAAAATCGTTAAAGTTTTACAAAATATGAAAACGATCATAAAACAAATTCCAAATTTCAACTTTGGTCTTCCACATGCCCATATTCGTAGAGGATACGTCATTCAAAATTCGATGGCTCTATGTACCGTTGTTTTATCACGATGCGAGAAATATACATACATTTATGCAGATTTTTCATTACTTAATTTCTTCAACTATAATGTAGGACTCTAACATTTGGTGGCAACAGTTTGAAAAATGAAACGGACATTTATAGTGAACCTGCGCAAAATCGCAAAACGAAAACAATAGTCCTTCAGGGAGTAAGCCTCTTTGGACTAACAAAAAAAAGTTCTCTTTGATGTAACTCTAACGTCTTTTATTAATTGTGAATTAAAATATGCTTAATCCATCCTGGAATTCTATCCTGTAGTAATTAATTGCTATCCTGTAGTATAGCCCACCCAGAATTATCGCCAAGCATAGCGACAAATGATAGGATGTTGCAAAACAGACAAATGTTCGAGCATGTGGTAACCCATACCATTCGGCAAACGCAATGTAAACAACCGTAAATGACTTTTTCTGGAAAGCAATAAGAGGATGGAATTGTGGTGACATCTAACATAGTGGTCAATTGCATTTAGTGAATTTCACTATAAATTACCCAGATATCTACTTACTCAAAGTTAAAAGTTCTTACATTTTCGGCAGAGCTTTCTCTTAAAATTTGTCTCGCGCTGCATTCCACGGGGAAATACAACAATTTTAATTACAATTCTAATTAAATTACTATTTAAATACAAAATTCGTAACGCTATTATCGGCGATTATTTAACGCTCAGATATGGTCGAGACTACTGTTTTGGAGATGAAATTTTTGACTACTTTGGAGGCGAGAATTTTGCATTTAGTTATGGCTTGTTGTAAACCTGCTGTTAATGATGTTCTATTTAAGTATCAGGAGATCTTAAAGGAAAATTTAAGGTGGGAAGTTTCAGACAAGCGTAAATGTTCGAGAAAGCCAGACATTCCAAACAGATATTTTATGTATGAATTAACGAGAGAGTATGAACGTTTTAGAGAATTTTTGATAGATTATGGATTATTGAAGAATGGAGTTTATTGTACAAAATGTAAGAGAACATGCGGGTTAATTAGTCAGAAAAAGTCCTCGAATGGTAGTATTTGGAGTTGCAAGAAGTATAAGGCTGAGAAATCGTTTAGGCTAGGATTTTGGTTCGCCTGTAGTAAGCTTATTTACAGAACATGGGAATTAACTAAGGGTATGGCTTATTATGATATTGAAGAGGATTTTGGCTTTTCTTCTCTGACTTAGCCAGAGTGGCGTCAATTCGTTAATGAATAAGTATTACATCATGTTGAATTGATGTCATATAAAATTGGTGGGGTAAGAGAAGTTGTGGAAATAGGCAAACCAAAATTTGGTAAAAGGAAGTACAACAGAGGAAATTATGTTGAAGGTCAGTGGGATTTTGGGGGTGTAGAGCGTGATTCGGGAAAGGTATTTTTGCTGGCTGTTCATGAGCGGAGTCAATAAACTGTAATTGCATTAATTAAACAATGGATAGAGCCAGGTACTACTAATATTTCGGATTGTTGGAAAGGTTTTAATCCCGATGTGTTGACCAAGGACGGATTTAATAATTCAACTGTTAATCATTCACTTAATTTTGTTGACCCAAGTACGGGCATTCACACCAATTCAGTGGAAAACACTTTGAGGCACGTAAAAACACGTTTTCTAACACATAATAGGCAAAATGAAACGTCTTTCTACTTGATTATGTATATGTTCAAAAACAGTTTCTATGAAAAAAAAATTGATTTGTGCAATGCATTTTTTGAGATTACAAGTCATGGAAAAATTTTACCTATAACCTTTAGAGTGTTTTCGTTTCTTAGGAAAAAAAAACATTAAAACCAAACCAAAATTACAATTATTAAAAAAAAAATGGCAAAAAAAGTGTATAAAAAGAATCACAAAAAATAAAACAAAACAAAACAAAAAACAATCAACTCAGGAAAAGAAAGCTTAAAAGAATTCTTAAAATGTAGCAAAGGTAGTAAAAAATACCCAAAAATTTGTAATATTTTAATATAAGTGTATACATAAGCAACCATTATAACACTTTTTTAGATAGACGCTTATATTGCATACTGTGGAGTTGCACGTGAAACAGGGACATTGCCCTTTATAAGGTATTTCTCCTCCCTCTTCTTAGCATGCCTTCGTGGTGTAATGGTCAGCACGTTCGGGGCGTAGTCGAGAGGTTCGTGTCCCGCCGATTGCTCATTTTTCATCTTTTCTGCTATTAAAAACCCTAATGACTCTACACCCTCACTATGGAAACTGTGCATTAAATATGATTGCACAGGCTAATGGTTTCACGATATTATTTATTTTTTCTGGGGGATCTCGTAAAATTCTGTTTTTTTTCTTTTTATAGCCCATTATTTGTAGTTAAAATTATTTATTAAGGACGAAATATCTAGTCTTCGGCATTGCTTTTAAAATTACATCCTTTAACCTTAATCATTTTCATTAATCAAAGTCGTGTATAATAGTCGCAAATTTATTTTTATTACCCACGATTTCTGGTAAAAACAAGATGGTCACCATTTTTTGTATCACGGAGTTTCGTCGGGAATCTTGATGGTAACCATTTTACAAAACATGGTAGTATTTGAATAGCTTTAGTGCCAAAAAAATTCGCCAACTTTTGAAGGTGGGCTATACTGAAGCTGTTGACTCAGCGTAGAGTCCACAGCATATTTAATGGTTTATCGAGGTTAAAAGAAGCAACCGGGTTTAGTGAAGATTTAGATCTAATAATGTTAGAAACCCTCCAGTTACTGGAATTGAACCTCTCTCTAAAAACTCAAATCATTCTCTACGCAAAAAAAAAAAAAAAAAAAAAAAAAAAAAAAAAAAAATTCCTTGCATTTTTAGCTATGTTTTAAATTCTTTCTAGTATCTGAAACATCTGAGTGTTGTGTGAGAGAGTAAGCAACTGAATCTTTGATGAACCTATAATTCAGGGAACGAATAACTACAAAAAAAATTATATAAATTTATGTAATTAAATAAAAAGAAATTTTATTAAACATAACGTAATGGAACGTTAAAAAAGAACAGGAAAAAAGTAGCCAGTACTGGAACAGCTATACAGGAAAATAGAAATACATCAAAAGGGTAGCGTAGCTATTTATAACACCAGTAGTCTCGAAACATTTGTCTCTAAATACGAGCTTTGACTCGAGTTACGAGCAATGAACCAGGCTGTTGGTATGCGTGGCACCATTTCCCGATCCGGCTCGACTCGGGGAATCCCATCGTCAGATCACTCGGTGTTCTTTGATCTACGAGTTTGTGCACTTGTGAGTTAATTGTTTATTACATTTAACCTGAAAATAATTATTTCACGTTGCCGAAACGATTGTTGCCTCAGATAGTGCTGCAAAGAAAAATAAGGAAGCCGTGGCCGTTGAAATTGAGAAAGAAATCATAGATAAATATAAGAGTATTGTAACAGTGACGGGATTGGCGAAGACTTAAGGAAGGAAGAAATTAAGAAACTTGATGTAGGCAAAGGAGTTATCGTTACTTCCAAGCACCGTCCAAAACTCCTAGAAGTTGTTGGTGTGGATTAAAGAGAACCAATTAATGGTATCGGAAGCTATCATAAAGATAAACTACGGTTACATTATTTACCAGTGTTATTTATAGAAAAATTTATTTTTATGTTGATATTTTTGGGAGTGTGGAATGGATTAAATGGATTTCCATTACTTTCAGTGGGGAAGTTTGTTTTTAGATACGAGAAATTCGCTGTACGAACTCAATGCTGTAATGAATTAAACTCGTATCTCGAGGTTCCACTGTATTCTATTTTACGATTGGGAAATGGTTGATGTTAGTATTTACTGAAGATGATATGGACTGCAATAGTGGAATTGAATATAAAAATGATGGTTGTTGTAAAAAGATATTATCTTTTTCAAAAGTAGTCTATAGAAAGAATAATTAATACAAAACAATTATTAAAATATGAGGCTGATATTTGAAGATATTTCTTGGAAACAATGACAAGTTTCTGTGTACTGCAGTCATGGAGTACATATACTGTTTTACACAAGCATGTAAGGATCACAAGCATGTACGTTTATTTTATTTTAAATCTTTACTATCACATCTTATTTTCTACTTCCGGCCAGAATTAAAAGCGTTAACTTATTTATGCAAAATTCGTCTGGCGAACGCCAAGTACTTAAGTTGTGGCTTTTTGCCAAGCGAGAGAGAGGAAGGAATTAGTCGAAGCAGGTCGCTTACCTTAGAAGTTTTACTCAGTTGCTGGTTGCCTTCCAGGCCAGAGGTTTAATCCTCTTGATAATTTTAAACGTATTGTAGTGTTAACAGTTCTCTGTACTACATACGGCTTCCTGTTAATGTAAGGCCAATCTTCCACGTTTATATTTCAAAGTTAAGTTAGCGTTTAGTAGTTATATTTTTATATTCTTACGTTTAGACCGCAAGTAGTGGGTCTTTGTATTCCGAAGTACGGAAGTTATTGTAAAGAGAGAAAAATAAAGGGTTTTGTATACCCTTCTTGTGTATCCTGTCTACTTCCCACAGTTATTGAACATAGCTTTAGTAAGCTCCCTGTTCCGAGTCAGGTCCTTGCATGTTCCCAAAGAAAGTAAGACGGAACATTGAACCTGATAAGCATACTATGAAACATAAGTCATTATATTCTGGTTTATTTTATATGCTCAAAATCTGAAGTAGAATAACATAAATTGATTTTGAAATCTTATCTGACATAGAAAAGCTTCGGAATTTCCAACTAAATCATTTTTTCTCTTTGATTTTTTACTAGGTGTATGCTCTTGGATTACGGAACCACGCAGAAAGCGAATGGTCTGACGAATTCACCTTACCAGCTCTTGTGGCGGATGTAGAAGAATTCATGAAATCTAAAGCTATTTCAAAAGCTAATATTGTTGGTCACAGTGTAGGTGGGAGAATTGCAATTGCTTTAGCTTTATATAAGGTTTGTAATTTTAAGCTAAAGTTTCTGAGCATAATTATTCTTATTCAACTTAATCATTCCTGAAAATTCCTTTAGAAAATTTATATTCCTTTAGAAAATTATACCTTAATTTTATTTTCATTCGCTTCAAGTAAAAGAATAAGCTACCTTGTATTATTAGCCTTTTAATTTTTTTATTTATATTTTATTTGCGTCTATTTTATTTACTTTTAAATAAAGGAAAGTGATGTATAAGTGAATAAATACCCTATTTTTCTGGTATGCAAGTCAGCGCGGATTATAAATAAACCCTTTGATTGCATCCGAAGATTCACTGAAATTAGATGCAACAATCAAATAATTTGCCTATCTGTATGTAAACTTATTCAGCAACAAACGACAAATTGAGGATGTTTTAGAAAATATGTTAAAACAAATATATCTTAAAGTTTTGGTTTGGTTTATGTGATTGTGGCAAAACCTCGAGGGCTATCTGCATAAGAGGAAGGATGCCTTGGGGAAGGACTTTCTAACGGAAAAACACTCTTATGTACGTTACGCATGGCGAAAACCACGAAAACGCGCATGCAGGCAGCCCGTTTGCGGGATTCGAGCCTCGGACCGAACGGCGTTGGATGAAATCAGAGGAGTTGTCTTAAGATGACTGGCAGAGCCAGTTCTTAAAAGGAAAATACTGCAAACTCAAAATTTTGTGTAGAAGTTCCGAATTAGCTGCATCATCAGCATTACGCAAGCAATGTGGCATAGATTAATCTAGAATGGCGCAGTTCAGAAAATTTATTATACTTTTTAGAACACCGGGAGGGAATACCCAAAATAAAAATGAGGAATTATGAAGCTCTCTCTAAATTAAATTATAAAACTGATTAAAGTGTTTTCATCTTACATATATACAATATTAGATAAAAATATGTACCGTATATACCCGCGTATAAGTCGACCCCCCACTTCGACATAAAAAATTCGTAGAAAATAAGAAACCCGCGTATAAGTCGACTCCCCCACTTCCGAAATCGATCGAGAAACTTCGAAATTTTTTTTTAAGTAATACATTTATTCAGAATCATATGAGAAAAAAAAGTAAATATACGATAAAAAATACCTTGGTAAATAAACAAAATCAAAATCCTTCAACGTCCGATTCATGGTCAGATTCGCCAAACATTTCATAGAACTCTTCTGTCGTCATTGGCTCGTCATCATACATATTTTCAGTCTCGAACTCTGCATTGTTACAATCACTACTAGAGCCTTCGTCGTCATTTTCACTTTCAAAAACAGCATCATCTTCCGTCCCGTCTAGTTCGTTGCTAATACAACATTTTTTAAATGATTTTATAATCATTTCAGAGAGTATTTCATTCCAAGCATTTTTAACCCACTGAGCAATTAATGTAATATCGGGATTTTTAATGTTGTCTCCCTTTGTAAATGTTGGTCGACCGGAACTAATCCACTCTGCCCAATATTTTCTAACATTTACTTTGAAGGGCTTATTGAGGCAGACATCTAGGGGTTGAATGACGGATGTCAATCCTATGTCAATCCATGAATGAACAATAACTATTATAAAGACTTATACGTACGTAAAAACTACTTTTCCGAAAATTCTTTGGTTTAATCGAAACTTACTCTAGTTAAAGTATGAAACTCTGTGATTAGTTCGTCACATAATTTAAGTCATGAAATTACTTCAAGTAAGTGACTTATTTGATAAGTCGTCCAATTTGAGTGCGGGAAGACAACAACTGCATTATATAAAGAAATTTTTGAACTTCCGATTCTTTTAATTTTTTATGGCCCCGCGTATAAGTCGACCCCCCACTTTGAAGTCTTTTTTTTTGTCCAAAATATCTCGACTTATACGCGGGTATATACGGTAGATCTAAGACGCTATTTCCCTCGTTGTCTTCTTATTGCAGCAATATTAAAAAATGTAAATGTTTCTAAATAGACAAGATTAGACTGGCAAGCAAATTGTGGCCGCAAATGTCAATTGAAATAAAAATTAAGATTTAATCTCCCTCAACTGCCAAGTTTGCCGTTCTTTACGGGCTCAACATTTTATCATTCTACGCATTCGGGATCCTTCCTCTTCAACATTTATCTCCGTTCTAAGTTTCTACGTCAAACATTGTTACATCTTTTTCTCTTTTTATCACATCTATGCATATATGTATTATTATGATATGCAGAAAGTTTTAGCACTGCCGAATCGAGGTAGCCATGTTTTCCTTGTTTTTTTTTACCAACGTTTTATAATTTCACTAAAGTTTAAAATACACTCATGTCCATAAATTAAGGATAATGCAAAATCAGGCAAAGGAAGAGTTAGAAGCAAAACAAATTTGTCTTATTTGTAAAGCTTATTTATTAAACAAAAGGCAAAAGAGCAAAAAAGATGCCAAATGTTTGATATTATTAAAAAAATTAGCGATGGTTTCCCCTTGGAGCAAATTACAAAAAAAAAATCTATTTACAAAAAACCAATATTACAGGGTTGGTATGATTGTTAATACATTGTATGTCTCCCAGACGATACAATACAGTCCGTACAACGCTTAGGCATGCTGAGAATCAAATTATCAATCTGATCTTGGGGAATATTACACCACTCAAAACTCAATGCTCTCCGAAGTTCCGGTAGACATGTAGGAGGAGGTTGACGGGCTGCAACTCGTCGGCTAAGCATATCCCACACGTGCTCTACCGGATTCAAGTCCGGTGAGAATGTTGGCCAATTCATACGGGTGATATCCTCCGATTGAAGGCATTCGCTTACGATGTTTGCACGGTGAGGTCGGGCGTTGTCATTCATAAACACAAATTGTGCGCCCATGGCGCCCCGAAACAAACGTACATGTTGTTCCAGAATGACGTCCCGATAGATTTGGCTTGTCATGGTTCCATTTTGAACATGCAGGTTAGTTCTGGAACCCAGAATAATTCCACTCCAAACGAGCACTCCTGCACCACCGTAACGGTGTCGTTCAATGATGTTTTCTTAGTGGTAACGGGTACCTGGCGCTCTCCTTATGAAAGTCCGGCGAGAATCAGACTGCAAGCTAAACCTGGACTCGTCGGAAAACATTACACAAGCCCACTGTTGCGTAGTCCACAATGCATGTTCTCAACTCCAGGCTAACCGCAGGCGACAGTGAGTTGCAGTAAGTGGAACGCATCTGACGAGTCTACGAGCATATAGACCAATCTGCCCTAAGCGTCTGTACACGGTCTGCCTTGAAATTGTCATACCAGTGGCTGAAGAGAGCTGACGAGACAGGTCTGAGGCTGTGCTCCGCCTGTTTCTTTTGGCAGTAACTGCCAAATACCGGTCCTCATTCGGCGTTGTAACTCTGGGGCGACCTGTGCTGTAACGTCTACTGACATTACCATCATCTTGGAATGGTGTCCGCCAATAACATCGCGGCAAAAACATCGCGGACGAGAACGTCGCGGAGAAAACAACGCAAGGCGAAAACGTCGTGCTACAAAACATCGTGGGAGAAAACATCGCAAAGAGAAAACATCGCAGTTCTAAAACATCGCGGTACAAAACATCGTCGTCGAAAATAAAGCGGTTCAAAAACTTCGCAGTTTAAAAACATCGTCGTCGAAAATATCGTTGTAAAAAATAAAGTATCTAGAAATCATCGCATGACGATAACATAGCAGGCATACTTTTTTTAGGTTTTGATAATTGTAAATGGATATTCCGATAATGATTTGTGAGCGCAAGATGTAAAGAAGGATAATTTTTACTTTCACATTTTTTTATTAACTAACAAATTTTTTTCTGAAAAAGTAAGAAGAAAACTTAAGCATAGAAAATTAAATGCATCTTATAGATTATACTTTTCATGAAAATTACCAGTAAGAACTTTATAAAAAATAATTTATTAATGGCCTTTGTTAGTTAACTATGTCGGTTTAAAATTCTATTAAGTGCTATTAGTTGCATTAATTTTCTATGCTTAAGCTTCCTTTTTATTTTCTCAGCAAAAATGTATTGATTAATAAAAAATATGAAAGTAAAAATTATCCTTCTTTCCATCTTGCCCACACAAATCATTACGGGAATATCTATTTACATTTATCAAAGCCTGAAAAAAGCATGTCTACGATGTTATCGTCATGCGATGATTTCTAGATACTTTATTTTTTACAACGATATTTTCGACGACGATGTTTTTAAACTGCGAAGTTTTTGAATCGCTTTATTTTCGACGACGATGTTTTGTACCACGATGTTTTAGAACTGCGATGTTTTCTCTTTGCGATGCTTTCTCCCACGATGTTTTGTAGCACGACTTGTGTTGTTTTCGCCTTGTGTTGTTTTCTCCGCGACGTTTTCGTCTGCAATGTTTTTGCCGCGATGTTTTCGGCTGTAACCTCTTGGAATCGTTGCCAAAGCCTGGAGATGACACTCTGGGCAATTCCAAGTTCGTCTGGTACTTCCAGTTGGGTACGCCCACATTCCAGACGGTCGATAATTCTACCAAATAAAAAATCATCCAAATGCATCCTTTGTGTCATAACTATTCGGTTATTGCACTGAAATGCTTATAAAGCGCCTGCGAACAATTTTACTTCTTTGTCTGTATTCCTTATATATCACGCTCTTACACTCTCGTCATTATGACGTACTATCGGTGTCATCTGGTTACTTCCTGAAATTTGCCTATGATTCTTGAAGATGTGTGTAGTGATTTTACAGGTGATATATTTATTTTAGAGTTCGATTTCCGCGTGACTCCGAATTATCCTTAATTAATGGACATGAGTGTACTTATTATGTGATTTATGTTTAAAAGTAAAATTTTGATTTATTTTTCCACTGAAGAATTTTAATTATTCACTTTCGGTTTCAATTCTTTAAACAAAATAGAATTCCCTTTATTTAAAGTACAAGATCTCATTGGATCTTTTTCCTTGCTTTGGGGAAGGGCCAGAATTTACGGGTGAACTACTATAATTAAAATATATTGAAATAGTCCATCGGCTAATTCGGGATACAGAAAAGCAAGGATTTTTGTAGAAGATAGATTTCAATTGATTTCAATGTTCCTTTCCCCCTGCTGAAGTGGCATTGAAGTTGGCTGAATTACTCCTCTGCTTTCCTCCTCTCTCTCCTCTCTTTTTTCTTTTAATTTCTTTAAAGATTTTTTTTTAAATTGGGCTTTGATTGTTTAAAAGTTTTGGTTTTTACATTTATTAAATTCTTTGTTGCATTTATTAGATTACTTGAAATTTATTAATTATGAATTTCAAAATTTTCGTCTTTGTGAAACGTTAGTTCTAAATTTCTTACTATATGTCTTTAATGATAATTTTTTGCTTTTTAAATAAATTGTATTGTAATTCTTTTTAGCGTTCGTACTAGAATTCATATTTTAATTTCTTTAATTTTGCAGCACAATGCGCAAAATGTTTGACCACATAGGTCTTTTATCGTTCGTTCTTTCTACTTTACTTTAAATTATATATATATATATATATATATATATTTCTTAATTTTCATTTCACACAGAGTTGCGAACTGTCCACTTTGCCTCAGATGACTAAAGGCATTCAAAAAAAATATTAAATTTTAAGAAAAGCACCTGAGCATAAAATTTAAAATTAGGCAATGAAAAAGTTAGTTTCGAGTTGGTTTTGAATACAACTTTATCGATCTTTAGGTAGATCAGGTACAGGTCTCTGTTCTTCAAGAGAGGAGAAAAGTTTTGCAAAAATGAATTTAAACTTTGTTACCTGTATTATTGGCAATGCTGCCAAAATTAGTATGTTATTGTGTAACTAATATGCTGGACTTGCTTAACGTCAGATTTGTGAACATATATTGCAAAAATAAGGTTTATTCAAAATTTACAAAAAGGTTGCCTTTTTACCTAATTATAATAACAAAGCATGTTAACTCAAATTAGTTTTACTAAATAATGAAATCCAGTCAGTCTGTTACGATTATTTACAATATCTTTATATATTTTTGAAAACATCTGTTTGCAATGACATATATATCACAGTTTCATCAGGATTGTTTCATTAAAATGATTTGATGCTGTTTTATGCTTCATCTCTGAGCCTAGTCATCAACTAATCATGGAATGGAATAAATTTTAAGACTCCAACTGATATCTTAAAACTAATTTTTCATATAAAAATTAAAATCCTATACTAAAATAATTGGCCTTTGCTCATTTATAACATTCCTAAGGACCTAAGGTCCAGTTTCATAAAGAAAAGGGAAATTCCCATTTTTTAACTACTGCACCAGTATCAAAGTTAGATTTAATCTTAGACAAAGCTACACTTAAATGTTAATATTTAAGAATTCATACATGTTTTTCCACCTGCTGAGTACATACAAAAATGAATTTTTCTGAAAACATTCAGCAGTAGGAAACAGAGGTAGAAAAACACTAATTCTTAAGTTAAATTCGAATGGGCTTTTTAACTATGCATTCGAATTTAGGAGTTTAAGCGATCAACAGGTGCAGGAAATTTATAGTATAATGGTACATTTTAATAGAAGTTTCTGTGGCTCACAGTAAACATTTTCAAGTTATGATTTTTGTTTTGAAAAAATTACATTGAAGGAAAGGATTTCTAATCAGAGTGAAAGGAAAAACGATAGCAAACGTTGCAGCCAACTAATGAGAGCTAGATATCAACAACATGTATTAACAAGTTAACTTAGAATTACTGTGAAATCGAAATTTGTGCAGAAAGATAATTTATGTGAATAATGAAAAAATGAGTGTCGCATTTACTTTTTATCTTTTCATTAATATTTGACCACTACTAATATTCACGAAACCTTGTCTTACACAAACATTATTATTGCAGCCAGAAGTCGTCGAAAAGTTGATAGTGGAGGATAGCCTTGTCACTGAGCCTCCAGATGATTTTCTTGAACAATTCTTAAAAACTTCAAAAGAATCAAGGAAAGAAATTTCCAAGCTGCCATGTTGCGTAGATGAAACGACAGCGTCAGACCTTGTCAGTCAATTTGTCTTACAATGCTTATCAAAGGTAAGAAATATGCAAAGTTTCTTAATATTAAGAATTAAAGATCTTCAAATGGAGAAAAGCTCTGATTTACTCGTCAACTTTCAAAAATATTTCTGTCGATTTTGTTGAAGACGGCGCGTTATAGATCGATAATTTCTGCGCAAAAACTCATCTAACCAATAAATAACACTGAAATTTATTAAAATTGAATTTATTAAATTTGATTTAATAATTTATGACTGCTTATGATATTATCTAGATGGTAAAGTAACTTCTAGATTTGAGATATATATTTTAATATCGAAAATTTATTAACTCTTTTACCGATATTTCGTTTAATAACTTTTAGTGTAACTTCAGATTCTTCTATCTAGACTTTTTTTTTAAATTTTTCTATCCTTTTTATTATTTATTCTCCCATCCAGCCTGGCTTTACTGTAGTTACTAGACCCCTCTCGATTGTCTAGTAATAAAGATTTGGTAGAAAGACGCGTGAGTAATATAAGAAGAAAATTATTAGATTCAAACCAAACTGAAGTTTATGAGGAAATATTTCATACTAGGCAGAAAGACTAAATTTTTGAAGAGTTTCCAAGAGCAAAATTACGTAAAGAGCACTATTTTCCCTGTGTTCAAAGAATCTAGCGAAACGACGCCGGAAAGGCAGATTTTTTTTATGCTTCGGTATATGGTAAAAAAAGCACCTTACCTTAAATGATTGCCTGGAAAAGGGTAACAACTTAATTATAGTTATACCATTGTTAAATCTTCTCTGGAAATAAATATCTTACTCCAGTAATGTCAAACGTCAGGAAATCTTTCTTGAAAATAGTTATAAGGAAATTAGCTACGGAAGTTTTGACTTTTAGGATTAAATTGGAATTTAAAAAACGACACACGTTCCTGTAGAGCTGACTCACAAAAGAGGAAATTATCGCCAGTAAACGAACGCTCCTTTCTTGCGCCCGTGAGTTGCTTGACTACATAATATTAACTTTCCTCGTTACCCTATACCCCAAGTTAATGTTGCAAGAATGCTGGAAATTACAATTAAATTAGGATCGAAAACTGCCTGAACATTTAGCAAATAAGTTTATGAAATGGGTAAAACAAATGGAGATGACATCTAATGCCTTCTAAATTCCTAGATGGATTACATTTGTTAGATCGCCCGACGAAGAAGTTAGTCTCCATGTTTTCTGCGATGTTAGCAACCACACCTAAGCTATCTGTATTTTTTAAGAGTGTGTAAACGCATTAGGATGTTTTTGAAAGCAGGCAAGATGAAAAACTAACAGCTCCTTCACCGGGAATCGAACCGTGGACCTCTTTAATACCGGCCCAGTTTTTAAACCACTACACCACGAAGGCTCGTTGAGAAGAAAGAGAAATCCATTATACACTCTCCCTTTTAAAGGGTGACTGGGGTTTTTAGGATACCCAATCGCCAAATCTTGGGTGAGGAGAATAATCAGCCAACACTTTTTTAACTTGTAGAGACATTAGGATTTTTTTTTTGGATGCAGGCAAGATGAAAAATTAACAACGCCTTAGCCGGGAATCGAATCGCGGACCTCTGGAATTACCGACCCAGTGTGCAAACAACTACTCCACGAAGGCTCGTTAAGAAAGTGGGAAAAATACCTTATAAGTGAATAGCGAAAATCAGGTTTGCCTAAATTTTGTGCAAGCATGCATTGAAGTTGCACCTTTGAAAAACGTAACTATTCATCGTTTGAAATTATTTTCCTGCTTAATCGGAGCTCGCTTCAGAAATATAGTCATTTCTAATATAAATATACAATATTTGAGAACATTCTATTGTATTGACTCTACAACCCTGTTTAGCGAGACGTTTTATGATGATAGCGAGACGTTTGATTGAGAACTTTCGTTCGGAATCTCGTCCAAGAAATCAGAATACTTTTAAAAATATAAGACTGGGGACACATGTGTTTAGAGGTAAGTGCAGCCGACCTTCTATCTTCAGGCTTTTCAGTTAAACAGTTTTTGCAGTCAAAATAGTCGGAGTGCCACACATGGCTAAACATGGCTGTTAGAACAAGAATCGTCAGCCTCTAAAAACTCTGATTTGCCAGACGAAGTTCTAAATTCAGAAAAGCATTCAGTATTCATTGCTCTTAACAAAGATTCTAAATCTGGAAATTTGTATTATAAGTTCTTTTCATTTGGATGGAAAATTATAGATATGTTAGCTTAATTTTATTTTAACTTGCCAAAAACTAACTATCAATCTTACAAAAATTGGTCTGTTTCGGAAATTTCTAGAACTGAGATAGCTCTAGTGTTTTTGATTCAAAAGGAATCATTTAAAAAAAAGTGTAAAGGAGGACATAGTTAAAGACCTTAGACTGACAGTTTATTGTGATAGTCTGGTTAGTTTTAGAAGATCAGTAATATTACTGAAAAAGTAAAACGTATCTTTATTCTTCTTCGCGGTGGGCATCTGACGATGAACTCTTCCTATATACTCGAACAACGGAAGGCATTCATTCAGCAACGTCAATTCATTCAGGGGGCGTTCTTAATATAACAACAAATTTTATTAATATTTACAAAAGAATTTAAATAACAGAAGGGTATTAATTACAATTATGCTAAGCAATGCTCATGTCTGCGTCCGTTCACTAGTGAATCTCCTGCCTGCCTGAATTATTTCGATCTCCGATTCACTTCAGTGGAAGAAAGCTGCCAAGAGGTTCACTTAGCAGCACCATCCTCTCACCTTGAGTTCTGAAAGAACTCAACACATTGTCGCGCATGTCACAGCTGCAGTATATGAACAAGTTTCACAGTTGGTTCACTCCGAGTGCCTGAGACTTTAGGTAAGGATTCTAATTTCCCTTCCAGTAGAGCAAAACTATTAAGAGTTATCAGGCTTTCAAGCGCTATGAGGTATCTCAAAACAGAACCTTCTGACAGTTCTAATGGATAAACACATTGCATAGGACATGTGACAATGCAGGACTTTTTTTTTCACTTTTATAATTCTGATAGTACCATCTGTTGCATGTAAGGCTTCGACATTTCTTACTGTTGGTCATTGCAGACGCTTCAAATTATCAGGCTCCATGAATACCACATCATCATTAGAAATAGGTTTGGAAACCTTTTTAGAAAGATTAGAGTGTTTAGATATCCAAGATGTTCTAGTCGAAAGCTCTTTCTTAGATCTTCATATATTATCTGCAAGTACAGATGTCTGTTACACATATAAGAAGCACTAATGGTATAAATATCTGGTATTCCACTTTCTTTGTTCTCCTGTACCAACATCAGAGGAAACAGAACAATTAAGTAATTAAAATCTTCAGATAAGTATGTCAAATGCCGTGAGTTTATCAGGCATGTTAGTCTATTCAATTCTTTATAGGTGAGGGAAACTTGGCTTGATAATTTTTGCAAAATCTCTTTGACCATGCTGATTAATCGCTCCCACCAATCAGCCCTCTGACGAGGTGATGAAGGAAGTTCCCGTGTTATCTTCTTCAATTCAACCTCTATTTTCTTCCAGTCTATTTTGTAGAGTTTATTGCGAGCTTTCACAATATTGCTTCTATTACCGGAATAAAGAACATTCGTTCAACCTCTGCTGCTATAAATCTTCTCAGTGAGAGCAGGAAGGTTTCTGCTTTTAAAGATGTTATTAGCTCCACAAGGATTGCACGATATACGGAGCAAGTGAAAAATACTATATAGGAATCTGTTTTATCTATCAAATGCAGTGATATATAAAATAGATTCCTGCAGTGATAGATAAAACAGATGCAGTGATAGATAAAACAGATGCAGTGATAGATAAAACAGATGCAGTGAAAGATAAAATAGTGATAGATAAAACAATGCAGATAAAATGCAGTGATAGATAAAACAGATTCGAAGTCATACGAACGTCACAGTATTCGAAGTCATTCGAAGTCAACGACGCTGCAGTATTCGAAGTCACAGGAAACCTGTGACTTCGAATACTGCAGCGTCGTTTACTCGGTCTTCAGGCAAGAAAGTAACTTTTGATTTTGGATGCGTCACAGTGAAACATCTACATCAAGCACAGGATAACTTGTCGAATCGTTTTGCGACTTTGTATAATCTAATAGTTTTCTCGAAGGTGATTGATTAATATTTGCAGCGGTGATTGCCCAAGTTCTTTATGTTTATATACGATAAGCGTATGAACAATTCTGTGCTTCGATTGACTGTAGTATTGGTAATCCAAAACTTTTCTTATCATTTTTACTGAAGATCTGCGTTAGTACTCTCATTAATCCCATTTTGTCAAGTATTGAACGAAAATACTTTATTCTCTGACTGTTGGCATCAATCATTTGCTGATCGCATCCAGAAATTCTTCCTGTTTGATAGCTCGTTAAGACGCTTAGTTTGGTTAATTTCTTTCCCTATTAGCTCATCAGACATGATGACGCTTTAGATTTCAGATTAAAGTAAAATCTAAAAATCCATGTAAGTATTCTATAAGAGTTTTCTGCAGGACTGAATTCTATGGAAGATATTGTTTTACGTTTCTACACTTACATGAATTTTCACTAAGCATTTTCTCATTTCTCGATTTTGATTTTGGCCATTGTTCGTGATTTCATGTTTACATGCTTCGGATCAATATATATTTTCTATTTTTCTTGACTTTGTTTTTCTCAAAGACAATCTAGATCTCTTCCTTTTGGATACGCGTCAAAACTGTTGTAGAATCTATCCAAAAGTGCATTTCAACATTTTACCATTGTAAACCAACTAAAACGGAACAGCATACTCTTGTTCCTATCATGCCATCTATTAATTTTAGACAACGAATAGTGACAGATTGATCAGGATCTACAATATCTATCGATAAGTATTTGGAAACCCATGCAAATTCTGATATCTTCGGTCCTGATATACGTTATGCCTTCCACCATTAAATATTATGGAAGAATCAGCATTGACATTAGTGGCATGCAAGATGCCATTACGTTCAGAGTTATCTTATTTCGAAAAAGATGTAA